TTCCGAATGTAAAACCGAAGAAAATGGTTTGCGTTGGTATACTTTCCAGCAGGAACAAATTCCCGTATCGTAAACCTTATTTTGCTTACTGTACTTATCTCAGTGACTGCACTGAATCAGATTCAATTCTGGTTATGTATAATGAACGTTGTTCTTTAATTTGTCAAATTCTGGAAGTAAAAGCATTAATTTAAGCAATCAACTATTCTATTTCGCAAAGTTTTTAAGTGATTGAATAGTTACATAAAGAATTCACAGGGTGTGAGACAAACAAGGTAAAATTTACTTACTGGCGAAGTAACTGCGATAAGAAACCCTGTTAGAAGAAAGAAAAAACCCATAACGTCGTTTTCAGTCTCATCCAAGATGAATATCTTTTCAGTGGTTTAAGTAATTAACGTTAACGAAGTATACTTATTTCTCGTGCAGTCAATAATTGGAATTGCAAGGTTTCTGTTTGTTCTTCTGTAGGAAAGAACTGCTGTTTTATTCACACGCTGTCTGCTTCAAATTAAACAACTTCTACTAGCGGTGTTTAATCGAGTAAATACGGAGGGCGGTTTTTTAGCCTGTTTATCAATAGAGAATAAATATGAAAGATGCATCATGTAAATTTTTTAATTTTCAAGTTATTGCGTTGCTACAAATGCAAAACAACTGCTAACACGGTTTAAGGTTATCAAGTTCTGCAGATATCATACCTATATGAGTCATGAACTTTTTTTTATATTACGAAAGAATTTTAAAAAAGGATTGTACTGACACTGTAACAAAGTTATGGGAGCTAGCCAACTAAAATTTCACCAGTTGCCGGAATAGAGGTAAAAGGCTCCCTTAACAGTCGAAATCATTTTATAGCGATTCTGATAACTCTCCCCGGCTAAAAAGGTGTTCGGCTTAACTGGGGGCGCCCCAGTTCCTTCGCGTAAATGATCATTTGAAGCCGAAATTGCTACTGTGCTGTCAATGAAACGAGAACGGTGACCCCCACTTTTTATACGTGTTATTTACTCAATATGGGTACAAGAAAATAAATTTTAAGGAGAACAAATTCTGGACGGTAAAAGTTGTATTTTTTAGATAAGAATGACCGGTACAACGCTGCATTTAAAGCCACAGAGAAGTGTGGGATAGCGTCAAAACGGTCCCTTTTTTACATAAATTTGAAGTCACTTTAGTTCACACTGAAAGACTATAACCCGGACCGACAAAAGCGCCATAGATTTTGGTAACATTCATAGTTTTTGATAAAAGATAATAATCAGTTTTTGACCGTTGTTCCAGCTTCGAACTTTTCTTGCGCAACTTGCCAAAGACACCTAGAGTAACGGGCTCGTAGGGCGAAAAGAAGAACGGTGACCCCATCTTTTTATTGTACATTTTTAATTCACTAATTGGGCCAATTTTGAAAAAATTCAGGATGGTACATCCTTTTCTGAGAGGGTATTACCTTTCAAAAGTAGGTTGAGTTTGATCTTCCGGGTGAACGTAGTCCTGAATAGGACTGTTGTTGACAGTGAATGACGTTTCGACCACCTGTGCGGTAGTCATCTTCAGAGTCAAAGTGAGTTGTATCACGTCAGTTGATGTTAGTATACTCTGGTTACTGGTCTGATTGGTCAATTACGTTGCCATGTTATTGGTCGTCTGTCAGTTAAGCCTTGATGTTATTGGCTATGAAGACTCGTAATCAGTAATTGGTGAGTTTCGATCCGTCTATTGTCACAGTTAAACAGTCGTCTATTATTAGTCAAATTGTCAGTTCTGCAGTCGTTCTCTCGTAGTTAGTTTTGCTTGATCTCGTCAATAAGTCGTTTGTATGGCGCTGGTAACTGTTGGCTACGATTCAGTGGCGTTTGTTCTAAGTTAGTAAACCAGCTGTCTAAAGTAAGACGTTGATAGTAGTCCGTTATACTTGTCGCAGAGTCCCAGTCAATTTGATGTTTCGTCTGTAAATGGTGCTCAGCAATGTGATTGTTGACGTCACCATTCCTCGTCGCTCGTTTGTGTTCGGTCAGTCGCGTGCTTAGGTTTCTGCCGGTTTCACCAATGTAAAAAGCCTGGCAGTCGCAGCATTTGATCTTGTATACTGCTCCCTGTCTGTCCTCCGGTTTGTCTTTGTCCTTGACATTAGTAAGCAGTAGCAGTAAAATGGTTATCGGTTTGTGTGCAACACGTATATTGTAAGGTTGTAATATACGTGCAATAGTTTCAGAGGTGCCTCTGATGTCGTAACAGGACCAGAGTTGGTCTGAGTGTTGGAATAAGTGTTACTGTCAGTGAGTGTTCCGTCTAACAAATCCGTGTTGTAATTGTTCTTACTAAAAACGTTGTTAAGATAATCAGTCTCGTCTTGTAGGCTTTCAGGTGAGTCGCAAACTAGCTGCGCTCGTCTCGTCAGAGTCCGGATAGTATAGTATAGTATCTTTATTGCGCCTTACTCTCCAAAGGGAGGCATCGATCTAGTTACAATAGTAGTAGCCTTGTGAGAGGTCGGGTTGTACGAAGACTGGTCTAGTAATCGGTCGGTATGTGTCAGTTTTCTGTAAATAGTCGTTTTTAGTTTGTTGTTGTCGCGAGTGACCAAGCAGTCTAGAAAAGGTATCTTGCCATTTTCTTCGATCTCCTTGGTGAACTGTATGTCCGCGTTCTGTCTGTTAAGGTGTTCGTGAAAATCGTCGATTGCGTCTTTGTATACGGCGGTGAATGTGTCGTCAACATTAGGTGACAAAAGAGGTACAGTTCGCGTGTAGGTAGCTTGGGCTTGTTCCTCGATGTTTTGCATGACAAATTCTGCTCAGTACAACAACAGAAACTGTAGAGCCCATGGCTGTACCGTGTAACTGGTTGTAGTGTTTGCCCTTGTACTGAAAATACGTCGAAGTTAAACAGAGGTTGAGTAGGTCCATAATGTCGTCTGTAAGTAGTGGTAGTTACGTGTAGTTCAACAGTAGAGTTCTTAATAGCGTTCTCAGTACAGTCTAGAGCCAGTTGAAGTAGAATACGATCAAACTCAACCTACTTTTGAAATGACTCTTGGCCTCAAACCTTTCACGGTATTACCTTCATTGCTAAATTTTCTTGTTATTTTATCTTAAACTTGTATTTCAAATAGCATTTGTCATGTAATATTTCTAAAAGTGAGTAAATAAAGATTGTTGTTGTCGTTGAAACTTCCATGATTATTTCTGTAAGTATGTATACCTTCTCCCGCTGAAATCGTCGATACGATGCTGAGAGAGAACAATAGTATTGTAGAAGGGTCAGCTATCTACCCAAAGGGACATGGCGGCGGATCTTCAGTTCCGCGTTCATCTTATTGCAATAGGGACTTTAAGATCCGAGACGCGACGGCTGTAAGACGCGACAGGAAGTAGATTTTCAAAGAGGAGACATGTTGCGCATGCTCAAGCCGTTGTCCTGGTGTCACCACGTCGCGTCGAGAACGTGGGTTTTGCGTGTTTGACGTTCTGTACAAAACGTGAGTATATTTGTTCCTGTGCTTAAATTAAATGATGGTATATTCCTCTAAACATGTAACATCAGCCTTCTAGGATCATTGGACGTAATTTCTGGCGACATTTTAGATCGCAGAGATGGAAGGATTTCAGATTATTTTTAAATTTCTTTCAGGTGTACGAAGCTTATAAAATGGCAGCGCCTTCGACTTCGACTTCGAGCGAGGCGTGCAAGTAAGTCACGAGCTAAAACTGCAAATAGTGAATGCAGGAGTCTTCTGCATACTCTTCTCGTCTCTTGTACCGTTGCAATTCTCGATTTATTGCGTTCATCTACGGCTAAAAGCCAATTTTAAGCCTGTATTATTTAATTTAATTTTATTAAACTGTGTGTGTTTTTATGCTTCTCTTTAGTTCAGTAATGTTTTGGACTCATGATCATGAAGCCATTCTATGCAGAGAAGTCGTCAATGTAAATCCCTACACAACTAAGAAAGGGTCAACACAAAGAAGTAGAATGTGGGAAAAAATAGCAGACAACTTGAACAAATTCACTGTGCCGAAATTCAGGGTTGATAAGCGATCAGTCCGAGACCACGTGGGAATCCTTGTTTACAAGCATAACAAGAAACTTCTAGCGGAGGAAAAAGCAACTGGGATAACTCCCGATGAGCCAACGGAACTAGAAAACCTATTGGGTATGATCATCGCGTTGGAGGAAAGTGGCGAAGCGGAATTACAGGAAACACAGGGAAAAGCTAGCAAAAAACGTCAATACGATCGGGCTAAAGTGAAAGATGTTAGACTAAAAGCGATGGAGAAGCTGTCAGAGACGAAGAAAAGAGGTTCATCAGAGGATGAAAGCCATGACAAACCGAAGCGTCAACCAAGAAGTGGAGGTGATGCTATCGAACAAAGCACAAACGAAGCATTTCTTGGACTTTCTTAAATAATGCCATGGCTATTTCTGCGAAAGAATCGCCGAAGAATGACACTGATAAAGAGCGGTTTGCAGCCGCGTCGTCTTGCATCGCGACAGAGATCTTAACTTTACTTTTCGCGCGCAAACGACGGCGTTCTACAGGTCCAGTCCTTTATCAGCCACCGCGTTCTAGAAGTCGTCGCGTCTCAGATCTTAAAGTCCCTAATTACACCCAAGAAACGCTGCAAAACCGCGCTTAATGACCTGTCGTTAAGGCGGTTAAGCATTTCCTCTGATACAATCCATTCCTGCCAATGTGTTCTTTCCACATTTTTTCTTTCTACGCGCATGGTTGAGAACTCGTGAGTTTTTCTTATACAAGTACGCTGGACTCGTCATTAAATGTTCTAAACGCAAGTCAAGCAGGCCCGTAAGTCAAGACCAAAAAAGAATTTTGTACCTAAGTTACCTAATTTTTTTTAAATCGTGAAACGATTTAACTTTCACGATTTTGATGAAATCGCAAAAAGCGGCGCAAAAATAACAATGAGGTAATTTGTCACGGCCTGTTTATAGTTGCCATAGTGATGACTCTGCTCCTTTCATTTTATGCAAAAGAGGTCTTGTTTAACCAAACATACTGAACAAAAACAGCGTGTGATATACAAGGCAACATGGCAGCGAACCCTACAGCACAATTCCACTGCGTTTTATAACATCTTCATTTCGACGATGAGAGCCATCTGCTAGATGAGATCATGCCAGATACCGAGAATCCACGTTCGTATATTCGACCAGTTCCCCTGCCCATTCCTTCGCATCAAGGGCTAAAAATCACTGCTAGAAATGCCAAATTCTACACTTGCGAAGTTCCAACGAGGAAGGAAGTTGCGAGGGAGAATTATGAACGCCGTAGACATCAAATGAGCAAATGCGGTTATCGCTCAGTCATTTACAAGCCGTATCAACCGGTTGGGGAGGTGTTTTTGGATGATAGGAAGTTAATTTTGAGCGCCTTGGGACAGGAGCAAACGGAACAAGACAACCAGGTATATTGTGACGTTGAGCACTCTAACATTCAAGATAAAGTTTACCCTCTTAGGTTCATATTTCAAGATGAGAATGAAATGATCTTTATTCATTTCATTATTCAATACACTTGAGAACGTTTGATCGTGCTTTGAAGTTAATTTACGCACGCTTATTAAAATGTACGCAAAGTTTAATAAGTAAATGAACCATCGTGAATCAAGGCGCTAATGACTTTTCGCATGATAGTGACGTTGTGTTCACGATTAGTCAGTAATTTTTGATCGCGATCAGGCTCACATCGAATTTTCTACGTGATAAAAAAACTGTCCCGGCTGAAATAATTTTAACCCGCAGAGTCACGCCACGAACGAGGACATTTTAACAAAGTAATACTGTTGCGACGTCTGGAGAAATTTTATCTGTTTTATGGCTATTTGTAAGCACTGTCACGATAACGTCATATTAATATTTAATTTTGCTGCCTTCGAAAGGAAGGGAAATGCCAAATATTTGAACAAACGCCCGATGCGTATTATATGAGTATTTCTAAAAACCGTCGTGATAATATCAGAGTATGCTTTACGATATGAAACATGAAACTTCTACTTAGCTGTAATTACCATGGATGTCCCTAAAAGAAATTACCGTTAGTAATCGACTTCAACAGTTCGTTAACTGTTTATTCGTCTCTGATAGATGTCCGCATAATTTACCGCAAGAGTGCCTTCTTTACAGGTGAAATAAAAGCTTAATATTGCAGCTGTCTTTTTTCAATATTTTGACAGACACATTTCACTGCGAATCAGTCTTGTGAACGAATACACAACAAACGCTGCCAAGTCAGCCAAGTATTACTTTTCAAATCGCGCCAAGAGAACTGACACCGAGACCGACACATCCGAGTCTTCCGACTTTTAGATATAAATGGAAAATACTAAACTAAATGCGATTATTGCTGCTCCGGAGGGGGACAAAACGGACAAACGTGACAAGTGCAAACATGCCTACAATGAGTTGAACAAAACTATTATTGTAAAGCCGAAATTATTAGCAAATTTAGGTTGAAAGATAGATTCAAAACCTTCTGTAAACCCTAAAGAGCCTGGTAACCCTCAGTTTTTTTTGGTTGTGTTGCCACACAACCCCCCTCCCCCACATGCATAAAATGACGACACTAGCAGGGAGTTCCAAGTGCACAAGTGTCTCCCATATGTGCCCTGTTCTTTCTTGTCCCATGAAGCTTTCAAGTGCCTGCTATGCTAGGTACACTGACAGGCCACTGGGAAGTTAGGAACTTGGTATCTTTGGGCACAAAGATTAATGTTAAAGAAAATGTACTTCTCACCTTATTTAGATTCAAGATGAGTCTTCATCGTCTTCTGGTGTATCAGAATCAGAGGATGAAGAATCTCTGCGGCAATCAAAGGTAATTGTTGTGATTAATAATTTATTAATGATCAATAAAAATAGTCAAATTAAACATGATGCTTTAATCGTTAAAAGTCGCCCCCACATTGTTAAAAAAAGAAAGGAAAAATGGTATTAAAAGGTGTTACGTAAATCAAGGTGGCTCTCATTCTACCCTTCTTCGATAATAATGACTTATTACTGCCCAAATGTAATCTTGTACCCAGATCTCAATGACGTATGCCTAGCTGGCAGGTGGGAGTAAGACCAATATAATTCAAAAAAGAATTTGATACGATGTCATGCTAGTGATATTTTTATCTTTACTGTGCATGATTATATTTTAGGATCAGCAACCAGTGCTTCCACAGCCAACCAACTACAAACCAAAGGTTATGAATGATATCAAGGCCCAGGTCAACAAGGGAAGGTTCGTGAGAGTAAATTATCTATCAGGGGTTGTCCATTATGTATTGATGAAAATGTCCAAAAAAATGATGGGGATGAAATTTATTAGCTTTCCCAGGCTGAGATACACTGCACAGGGCAGCTGCAGAATCTGAGAAACATTAACCTAGACTGACACTCAGACTGCCTGATGTGTATACAGTGGTTGATCTACACTGTAGGGGAGGGGAGGGACCTGCATGTCAGTCTTATATTTCTAGGTCAAGCTCAAGCCTAACAGGACAAAGAAAAAAATTCTTTTCAAGGCCAGGCGTAAATCTTATCTTATTAAAGGGTCTGCATGGATGTACACACTGGGCTCGACCCACTTATTTGAAAATGTGAATTGGCCTGACTGGTACACACATGGTCATTATAAAGAAATCATGGGTGTTAACAATAAATTCCCAGATTTTACTCTGTGAAGAAGAAGTAATTCCAATCTACATGTATGGATAAATAGGAACAACAAGTCTATATAGTAATTATGCTTTATGGCATGGGAAACCTTTAGGGTCAAGCATACCACTTGTGCTATGGGTCAACTGGGGTTCCTGTGCAGGCTCCTCCCCACCTACCTACCCGGCTCAACCTCTTTTTTTGAGCGGGCTTATAAATGCATGACAGTTTAAAATAAATTTCCCTTTTGCTTTGTTTTGTTAACATTAACGATTGATAAATTTCTGACCAGGAAAATGATTCATGCTGTGAGACTTGGTTTTGGATTGTACAGGCTTGTCCATGATGAACAGCACAGAAAGGCAAGTTGACTTAGAATTACAGAAATATTTTGTATAACACTTCTACTTAAAGATAAATTGGATTCATTAATTTATCAATCAAAAAATTCAATATTGGTTTAGCAAGCAGAAGCTGAGAGGGAGAGAAAACAAAAAGAAGAGGCTGCAAGAAATCAGATGAAACCTGCTTCCACTGACAGTGAAAATTCTGATGACGAACTAGATATTGAACTTAAAAGGTATCTCAAAATTGGTTAGACCATTTTTAATGATTATTAAAACAGCCCATTTTTGAAGACCTGATTCTAATTCTTAATACGTGTATGTAAAATTATCAAGTTTATAATGAGTTAATATTATTTATTTGTTGTATTACATCTCAATAGTTACATGATTCCAGCACCAAGCAGTCCAAGTCGAGAGACAGAGTAAGTTTTATAACAAATAATTTTATTTCAGGCATCGAAGAATCCAGACCAGATTTGACCCCCAACCCCCGGCCTGTAACTCATTAAATGCCAAAAGGTTAGGGTTACAGGGGTTGATAAATCTGTTCCCATTCAGAATTTTCAAACTGCCTTTTATCTATTTCCTTTCCCTTTTGTGCCCAGTTTCTAAATTTTAACCATATATAGGTTTAGGCACTTGTTTATCAATGTTCCTCCTGTTAGACTGTCCACAGCCCCCTATTTTTCCGTAAGATCATCGAGATGAAAGACTTTGCATTACAAGCAGCCATCTTGGATGAGTGTCAAATCTACTTAGGGGGCGGGGAACGGCTTACCTCCCCCACCTCCATAAACACCGATGCCTACCCCCTTTGTACATATGAAAACAAGATGGCTGCTCACACTGGTAACCCTCCATCCTGATGATCTTATGAAAAAATTGGGGACTGTAAACAGACTAAACTTAAACTTGCAGTGAGCACAGGTCTGTCAGTGCATCCCTAAATGCAGGCTGACTGTAGGATTTCGATTTCTGGCTTGGCATTGATAGAAAAAAATATTTAGAGAACACTTAAATAAATTCAACTGAAGGGTTGTCTTAACACAGACATGGAAAATAACACACATGCATGAAATTTAATAAACTGCTAGATCCTTTTTCAAAATTGTCTTCTCTTTAATGGAGGAGCAAAGGGATAATTTGACATACAATTTCTGTATGGTTAAAATAAATTAGGAAGGCAGTAACATTTTTTTATAGGCAACATAACCTCAGCAAACTGCAGTAGTACATCACATAAGGGATACCAGATTTTTATATAATCTGCGAAACCCTTTTTTTTTTTTGCTTAGTTATGGAGAACACCTTGATCCTGCACAGGACACCCAACCAAGACCCAGCAGCTCTCATTCTTCCTCCAGTAGTCAAAGGTGGAAACAGCTTGGTAAGCACATTCAGATTAATAAAATATTAATATTACATCCACTGAGTATCTATTAGATATAGACAAGACACACAAAACTTTCACCAACAGTCTATTAAAGTTGAATTAATACTACAGTATAACCTCTCCACAATGGCCACCATGGCAACAGAAGAAAGTGGCTGTTGTAGAGAGGTGGGCATTGTACAGAGGTGAGTGTTGTAGGGAGGTGGGTGTTGTAGAGAGGTGGATGTTGTAGAGGTGGCCGTTGTAGAGAGGTGGGTGTTGTAGAGAGGTGGGTGTTGTAGAGAGGTGGGCGTTGTAGAGAGGTGGGCATTGTAGAGAGGTGGGTGTTGTAGAGAGGTGGGTGTTGTAGAGAGGTGGGTGTTGTAGAGAGGTGGGCATTGTAGAGAGGTGGGTGTTGTAGAGAGGTGGGTGTTGTAGAGAGGTGGCCGTTGTAGAGAGGTGGGCGTTGTAGAGAGGTGGGCGTTGTAGAGAGGTGGGTGTTGTAGAGAGGTGGGCGTTGTAGAGAGGTGGGCGTTGTAGAGAGGTGGGTGTTGTAGAGAGGTGGGCGTTGTAGGGAGGTGGGTATTGTAGAGAGGTGGGTGTTGTAGGGAGGTGGGCATTGTAGAGAGGTGGGTGTTGTAGAGAGGTGGGCGTTGTAGAGAGGTGGGCATTGTAGAGAGGTGGGTGTTGTAGAGAGGTGGGTGTTGTAGAGAGGTGGGCATTGTAGAGAGGTGAGTGTTGTAGAGAGGTGGGTGTTGTAGAGAGGTGGGCATTGTAGAGAGGTGGGTGTTGTAGAGAGGTGGGTGTTGTAGAGAGGTGGGCATTGTAGAGAGGTGGGTGTTGTAGAGAGGTGGGTGTTGTAGAGAGGTGGCCGTTGTAGAGAGGTGGGCATTGTAGAGAGGTGGGCGTTGTAGAGAGGTGGGTGTTGTAGAGAGGTGGGTGTTGTAGAGAGGTGGGCGTTGTAGAGAGGTGGGTGTTGTAGAGAGGTGGGTGTTGTAGAGAGGTGGGTGTTGTAGAGAGGTGGGCGTTGTAGAGAGGTGGGCGTTGTAGAGAGGTGGGTGTTGTAGAGAGGTGGGCATTGTAGAGAGGTGGGTGTTGTAGAGAGGTGGGCATTGTAGAGAGGTGGGCGTTGTAGAGAGGTGGGTGTTGTAGAGAGGTGGGCGTTGTAGAGAGGTGGGTGTTGTAGAGAGGTGGGTGTTGTAGGGAGGTGGGCGTTGTAGAGAGGTGACTGTTAGTGGAGGTTCAACTGTATCTAAGTCTAAGCACAAGTCATACAATAAGCCAATCCTATGTTTGTACCTAACTTAAATAAATGAATAATAGTAAATTATAAAGCAATGAACAAATCAAAGTACAGTTAATGTAAATGATCATTAATCAAAACTAATATTACAGAGCTAAATGAAGTCCATAGTAACTGTATATGCCCTTTATACTTTTCTTGCTAGGTACGTCTGTCGTCACGTCAGTAAAGAGCCCTCCCGCGTCACCACAGCCTACCCTCCAAGTCTCCTCACCCACCCCCTCACATTCAATGGATCTTGATTTTGACAGGCTAGTCTTTTTGCATTTGATGGATAATTCTTAGTGTATTTTAATGTGTATTTCAATGCTAGAGACAACAACAAAGCTGTGCAAATTATATGTAGCTACTGTAGTTTAAAGCTGTCTAAAAATTTCAATAAATAAGTTTTTCCCTTTCTAGAATAACTAAAATAATATAGTGTACGTTTAATATTCGGGGAAATCCAGGGCAGCTAATCGGAAAGGAATTTTATGTGCGCTATCTAAGTACATGGAGAAAAAGTTTACAAGAGGGAATGGCAGAACAGCTTTTTCATTCTTGTTAAGTTTGCAACTATTTTTCGCCCCTAAATATTCCCGCCATCAAACCAATCAGCTATAAGTGGCCCTAGTTTATGGCTTTTGCACGAAGACGCAAAAATGGAAAGTACTGCTGTTTGCCACCAGTAAATTTCTCTCGATTTCTAACATAATTATCGTACCGACATAAATGTCCAAGACCAACTTCTTCCTTCCAACCTGCGTTATAAATTTCAAATTCATTTCTTTGTTTGATCGAGTACAAATTGCTCAAATCACCTCAAATCAGCTGCTGCTCAAATGCAAAATACTCTGTTACCGCTGACCAGTTAGTTGAGAAGAACACCAAGTTCACGACAAACACGTGATCGTTTTTATCGCGTTTGTAACAAAAATCACGATGATAAAGTGCAGATGGAAGGTGAACAAAATGAAAGGGGACAAAGAAAGTAATGCAAAACTATTCTGTTTTTCATGTAGGTCGTCAACTGAACATCCAGAAACAGATCGAAACATGACAAGTGCGCCCTCCAGCCCTGCCCCCACCACTCGAAGGTACCTTCACCCACCACAGTCCGCTGCTCAAAGCACCATATCAAAAAGCAGCCGCCGGTCTAGGAGACTGCGAAGTCAAAGGCCTTATTCACCGGTGTATTCCAATATCAACTACAATGACGTCACCGACAGGTTTGTCCAGCGCTACTAGCCAGGTCTGACATGCCAGTGTAGAAACCAGAGTTGTAATTGGCATTTGCAGCACCTCTGCAGCCGCTGGATACTTGCGGGCAACTTCCACTGATAGAGAAACTGTGTGTTTTGACTTGTTCTCAATCTGCTCGTGACTGCGTCACCAAAAAAATTACAGCACTTGCCCGCTTATAGTTAGCCTGCGAACCGCAGACGTATTTCTGGTCGTCGCTTTCTCCCTCCGAAAAATAACGTTTTTCTCGGCGGGTGAAACTAAAGCCGAAAAAACCGGATGCTCTCGCAGGCTAGCTTATAGTCTGCTTATCGCGCCCACTAAGCAGAATAGTACCTGACTGGCTTAGTTGTCCTATTTGTCTCCTAATTTAATTTTAAGGAAGGTAGCACGTGGAAGATGTGCGCGAGGGTAGATGGGATGGAGGGAAAAGGGGAGTCTCTCTTTTTTCCCTCTCTCCTTCCCATCGTCCCTTTCGACGAGATGCCGTTATAGTCCCCCGCGATTGTTTCCTTCGCTGCGCATGCTTTCTTCGAGTCTTAATGTCGCCTATTTATTGCTAACCGAGAGCTTAACCGTCTATTTTACCACAACTGGAAATTGCACAATAGTGACCCGGAGGAGGTGGTACTCGTCCAATATTTGGGTATGGGTGAGCCGCTGAGGGTTTGAAACCCTGTCCCCGGGAAGGACAAAAAAATCCTAAAATATTTACCCTGTTTCGGACAAAGGAGAAAATGCACGCCGTCTTGTTTTTAATTGACTATCGCAACAGGGCAAATTCACGTTATAGGCTTTTGAATACTTTGAGTACAAACAAAATTTATCTTGCAATCAAATCAATCGTGTAGGCACAATACCCTGTTGACAGACCTACACGAAATTATATACCCTGTTTAGGACAGAGAGGTCAAAAACTATACCTTGTCTAAGGGTAGATCCCCGTGTAATACCTCCCCCCCCCCCCCCCCCCCCGAATAATGAACGACTTTTGCCGGCTTTCATGTGAATCGGTATATAATTCAAAAAATAAACTCGTTTTTGTCTTCGATACGTAGGCTAATCCAGGTTCAATACAATGCAATACTTTACTTAAATTAGTATCAAGGATTAGTTTCTTTAAAAAAAAAGAACTCCACCAGCTGCTAACCATATATGTCATGCAATGCTGGGAGGCCATATAAAACAAGTAAAAATACTGACACGTCAAAAAACAGGCATCATCATTGTTGATGTTATGTCTTTATCACACAGGAAAAACATATTTCGTCAGCTGTGCGCACTGAACTGGATCTTAGAGGGGATGTCTCAGGATCAACAGCCTCCAGTCATGCCACCGATCACGAGCTGCTGGAAATTAAAGTACGTACCCTGCTCCATTGTCTTCCAGCTGGGTGTCCTGTGTTTGTTCCTGTCAAATGGGTCATGCCAGTTTTGCTTTTCTTGAGGCCTGAGTGTTGGTTTCTTTGTGGCTATTATTTTAAAGTTAATTTATTATTATAACAAAATAAACAGCCGACGCTTTGTGACACCGACAACGGCTTCCCAGCGCGCGAAATGATATCCGTGGAAACGAGGGCAGAAATTCTATACTGATCACGTGTTACTACACAGACCTGGATAGTGCATCTGATTGGTTCAAAATTAGCTTCAACCAATTAGAAGCACAACCTACATTGGATGAGTAGTGACACTTTATTAGTATGGAATTTCGACGCTTGTTCCTCAACCGATATTTCTCACCTGCAGGGAAACCGTTTTTTGCGTCGCGAAAATGTCGGCTGTCTTCCCAGCTTAACTATATAGAGTGTTTTCACATGACGTCACGGCGGCCATATTGGTGTCCCAAAACCATGAAAGTGCGGCCATGTTGGTGTCCTAAACCAATCCTGTGGGAGTTGAACTCTTTTCTTGTGCAAACGCTTTCTTTTGTTCCAATAAATTTGCATAGATGCTGGCCTCGTGGGTGAAAACACTCTATAGCGAGCTGACTTCCATTTTTTTAAATTCTTCGCTTTTCTTAGCACGTTACCTTTTTTTTCTAATCTTCAAAACTTTGATAGCACTCGATTAGCTTTTCTCTTGTTTTGTGTTTAATTTATTTCATTACTTTTTCAGGGACCTTAATGAAGACCCAAGAGCAATCCGGAAAAGAGTAGAAAAAGATAAGCTCACAGATAAAGACTGGGCGACATTTAAACAAAATCCTGCTCGCTTTACGCAGGTGAGAAGTACAACATGCTAGAGATCTTTTTCAGAAGCAGATATTCACGAAAATGGCTGTTTTCTTGCCCCATACATGCAAGGGATTCCGGAGTCCGGGAAATTTTTGCTTATCAATCCGCAATCTGGGAATTTTGCTTGTGGAATCCGGAATCCCACTAACGATTGGAATCCAGAATCCAAGATTTTCACCGACAAAACAATCCGGAATCTATGGCGTGGAATCCGGAATCCAAGTATGTCTTGGATTCCCTTACGTGGGGCGAGTTTCAGTACTGCTACTTATAAGGTGCTTTTGATGCAAGATTTTCTAAAGGTTTCAAACCCCCGAAAGCATTCAATAACCAGGCTTACATTTTTATTTACTTCCAAATCCTAAGCGTGGAACTCGAAGAGGCACAAGGAGAATCTCCATTCACCCGAATTTCATCCAGCGCTTTTCCACAACGAACACCCCCACTGTTGGACCTAGTGCTCTCCGCGTTCCAACAGAGACACGGCCACGAAGTGGAACAAGTGTGACTGGAGAGACCGTGGTGTCATCCCGAACAGAAGTTCCGACAGAGCATGCGCCAGACCAAAGGGCCTCTCAGGAAGGGAGTGGAAGCGACGGTCATGGAAATTCTTCGCATAGCGGTGGTGAGTCTCTAGCACGAATTTTTTTTAAAGACATTAATTTCACACTGGCTGAAAGAAGCAGAAAGAGAATGAAATTTCTAATCCAAGTGATTTCGCAGTTAATTCAAATATTTTCATCCGCTTGCTTCTTATGGAACTAAAAAGAAACAAAAAGAAAGGCTAGGAAAAGAGAAAAGGTACTGACGTGAAAATCATTGGAAATTTCATAACGTTAGCAAATATTCTTTTTTTCCCTTTGAAAGTAGGTTATCTGACCCAACCGTTTTCTGAACCAAAATAAACTTATATAGATACAAGAATGAGAAATTGTCCATTATCAGGAAAAACCAAAACCTAAGGTTCCTTCAGTGTCAACGAGAGTGTTGAAGTGTGCCTTTGAATGCCACTAATACTTGGGACAAACCAGAAGTAAATGTCTGAGATATCGAGTCAAGTTCTATGGTATTTTTTAAACTCTCTTTCTAGATACATTTTTTGCTTATAACTCTCGCGTTTTCATTTTCTTTTGTCACAAGGTGGTCATACGGTTACTTTTGTGGACCCAAAGATAAGAGCCGTATCAGCCCCTCCTGGGCCCATAAGTGAGCAGACCACTGTCACACCAGGAGCATTACCAGTCACCATGTCAAACACCAACTCAAACGGGGCCCCACAGAACGGAGCTCCAGGCGGGAATGATAAAAAGGCACCACCAAAGCTTCAGAAACAGAAATCATTCACTGTTACAACTGTCTACACACCACCTTCAAATCCTAGCAAAGCCATGCAGAAAATACGCGCCAAGACGAGGGCAGCAAAAGCCTTTAAAAGCACACTTTCGGTAATGCTCTTTTCAATGTGCAATTTGCACGCCTGATTTCCGTGATGTGGAAAACGATTGACGGCCGGTCTGCGTCTCGTGACTCGTCGCCGAATGCTTGGCGCCATTTTGGCCTTAAAATCGAGTGAATCATGATATTGCTAAAATAAATAGAAACATTTATCTGGAATATTGAAGGCACAACTTCAGATCGATTCGCAAACCGCCGCAAACCTGTTACCGCTTTAACCTCTTATTCAGAATGATCTTAACACAAGCTGCACTTTCTATAAGCACCAAGAGTGTTATTGTGTTTTCGGAAGGACCTGTTAGATAAGATAGGAACCTGAAAGACGTAGATTTGATCATAAGATAAATCGATACCGATTACTGCAGCGTGTTATCTCTTGTTGAGGTCTCATTTCTATTCTGTTTTAGCACAAGGAGCTGGAAAAACTTGCGTCGAAACCTGAAGAACAGCAAACGGCGAGCGATTCACGAGTGAGAGCTTGGGTTCAAGCAACCGGTAAGGTACCACTTATTATACAGATTATTCCAGACGTTGGATTGAATGTAAATAAAAACACCCTGCCCTGCCCCTTTTTCGTCTTCTTATCAGATGATAAATCTACTGAATCACTTGTTGTTAGAAGAACGTAAGCAAGGTTTTGTTTCCAAACAAAAATCATGATCTACAGGTAACGACAAATATGATATGCCAAATTGTTGAGGACGAAGCAGGGCCCTCTTCAGGGCCCCTCTTAAACCCCCCACCTCCGGGAAATAACTACATTAATTGTTAACTTTTTCCCCCCTTCTTTTCATAACAGGAGCAGTTAACACTAAAAGGTCAGTTCATTTTCCATCTTGTATTTTAGTGGGTTTGTCATTCCTTGTCCTAGCGTTTATCCGAACAATAAAGACCAACTCTAAGCAGCCCTGTGAAACAAATATAACAAGGCTCCTTGCAGTTTGCCAAAAAAAATACCAAAGAAGTATTCACACAGTTCTCTTTCAAACTTAGCCTGTGGTCAGGCCCTTAGATATTAGGGAAGAGTCACGAAAACAAGAAGCCAAGCGAAGTAAGACGTGCATGATCACCGCCTCCTCTCCAGCCATGCCCGCGCGCGTCAATTTCCCCATCAGTTCAGTTCTCGATGTTTATAGGACCTCTATGGATAGCAGTTTTTACTTCTTATAAAAACTGAAAGAGTTACCCTATTGAAAAACAGTTTCTCTCTACCTCTGCGTGTTACTATCTTAGAGCCTGGTACAAGCTATTTGAAAATCTGAATAAAGCACTTTCCGTTTTGCCCCTTATTCTGACTTTCATGCAGACTTTCTTGACCGGGCCGTGCAATCTAAGTGCGAATTAAACCAGCAGTTGTTAAGTTTTCTTTTCTCTTGTCAACGGAAAATGTTTCCAAATACTTGAAAAACAGCCTAGAATTTCCAACAAGAATTCTCGGTGCAAAATTAGTCCCTTTTAACCCACTTGGAATCTTTTCATTTTCTTCATTAGATTTGCTGCAGCCGCCATAGCGGCATTTGGCGCCATCAGCCTGGATCATCGAACTGAGAAAGTTCCCGTCGAGTCAAAAACAAAGTTTGATGAAGTGGCAGAAGAGAAAGCTCTTATTTTACACGACAATTTAGAAGTCAGGGACAGGTGAGCCCGCCCTATCGTTTGACACTGCTGGGTACTTTTAACCAGAGCGGTATAATAATAATATTCCCGGTATCCGGGAATTGAACAAAATACAGTGAAAATGCAGTGCGGGATTCGAGAAACGTTAACGGGATACGGGATTTGACTGCTACCCGGGAAGCGGAATTCGCCAAAATTTGGCAGAGGATGCAGGAGTGGCAAAGAAAACGATATTCACTGACGATAGCAATGACGGAAGTTCGGGACGCGTATTTGCGGGATAAAGGAGAGGGAATGTCCCAGTTATCTGCCGCCTTGGTTCTCCGAGGATAGTTTAACGTAATTAATTAATAGTCAAAAGATGAAATAAAATCGCGGTAAAGTAAAGAGAGAACACCAAAATTGGCTTATAGTCATGCATGCAATCGACGTTACGAAGACAACGTCTTCGTTCAATTTTTGCCTCTATTGATCAAACCCTCTGTTTAGAGCACTTGCTTCCTATCCGTCCTTTGTAATTATTAAGGTCGTTTATTCTAGAAGACTTAAACAGCATGGAAATGCGAAGTAGCAGCCTTCCTTTAAATCGCCGTGTAACTGTAATTTGTTTACCCATAAAGCACCAAGGAGTTCACAGAAACTCATTCAGGAGTGTCCGTGCTTTCCAGATCGAACTGGAATTTGGCCTTGACATTTTGTTGTCTTTATTCTCACAGGAATCGTCTTCAAGTGTTGGAGCGTAAGCTTATGTGTCTTGAGACGTTCAATAACATTTACAGGGCCCTTGATCAGATGCGTAGTAGTAGCGTTATTCCAGACACGGAAACAAACGAGGAGATGAGACAGCGAGTCACAGAGGAATGCAAATGGTTTGTTTAGGACTTACAATTACTATCTTTGCTGAATGGTGTATTGTCTTCAAGCTAGCCAACTTCTTGACCAGCAGAGGCGTTAAGATAATCGCGTGGGCGAGGGTAATACGCGCGAGTAAGCGAGCGAGCAAGCAAGGAAGACGCGCGAGGGAAAAGAAGAGAAAAGAAGGAAGGGACTGCAACCTCTTTTGTAACCGTCGAGGTCAATTTCTCCTCCCACCAAAAGTTTGAATCAGTTAAATATACACTAATCTTGTCAACATACACCCTCCTTCTCTTTTTGTCTTCTCCTCGCGCGTTTGCCTCGCTCGCTTGCACTTGACTTGCTTGCAACGCTTGTGACAATCCTGAGCGACTGCTATCAGTCTAGCTGACCACTGCATACAGGCTTTGCATCCTTTTTTGTCGCTCAGGGTTTGTGCAAAGATTTACCAGTCTGTATTGTTTGCATATGAAGTTATGAACCTCGACCTCTAATGAGTTTCTGATCCACGGAGAAGTTTTAAGTAGGAAAACTACTGTGGGAATTTGTAAAAGTTCTTGTTCAGGATTTGCTTTGTCTTTCTTTCCTCTTTGTGTAACATATTGTAAAATATTTATACGGTAAAGACGTTTGTTAAGATCTAACTATTATCTGTCCTTTTTTATTCATCCTAGGTATAAAGACTTACTGGGTAACCTGCCGCAGGATGTAAAAGATGATCGATACTGCACTATAGTATTAAATCGTATCGCTGGTTATGGATCTGTGAGTATCACTCTTTGTAACTATGAATCACCTAACTTTAAATTAGTGAAACATGGCTTTGACACCCCGATACTCTTGCACTGTTTTGCATGACTGGAAACAAGTTAAAGTGTAAAACGGTTTACGACACCATGTTACCGAAAACACTAAACATCAAATACAGCTAGAAACGGAATGTTTATGGAGAAAAAAAATACTTTTTCTAGGATTGATACTCTAAGGAGACACCACTAGCCATCTCCAGCAAGACAAAAAAGTCTGGAACAGTTTCTCACGTTCTTTTATTTTTGTATTCAGCTGGAAGGGAGGAAAATAAGCAGCAATCAGTTCTTGAAAGTCTTATCGACGCTTCGTGACTGGGAAATCTGCGCCCCTGATATCAATGCCGCTGTTGAGGTGAGTATAGTGGACCTGAAGCAATGAAAAACAATGATAATGGATACGTTACTTTGTAGATGCCCCAAGCCTTTGTTTCAAAGCGAGGCTAACTGCGAACCCACTGGTATGAAAATATTTTTTTTCTATACGAATAAAACTCATTTTCAGGACACTAAGGTTTTCCCCGGCAGCTTAGCCTAGTTTGAAAGTGAGAGTTTTTGTTACTCAGAAATGGCCTATGGTGATGATGCAAGGTTTTTGTGTTTTTGTGTTTCTGTTTTTCTTTTGTTCGGATGGTCACTTTGCTTGTGAAAGCTTTTGACAAGAAAAATTAAAAGTAACGTAATTCGATGTTTCGATGTTCTAAAGTCATTATCAAGACTGAAAACTGTTAAGTAGACCGTGAACAACTTTGACATTTAACGGTTTTCATTCACGATAACGATGTTAGAAACACAACGTTACTTTTAATTTTTCTTGTATGTTGTTCTGGCAAATATAAATTATGTTACATTTGCGTCAGGTCGTTGTCGCAAATTGCGTGGACTGTTGATTATTAAAAAATGCTGCAGCCCTGATTACAAAATACTTAGCTTCCATTCATTACAAGGTACCACAATTCCTATCACACATTGCCTCCGTTCGCAAAGGGAAGGGGAAGGGTATTTGGACGACATTTCCTTTTCAGTCCTTTCCGTTCGAACGCTATATCACAAAATGCGTAAACTGTTACAAAATTTCACAGGAGAGTAGCTCTTCGAATGATTGCCGTGTGATTGGAGTGATCTGTCGGCTCTCTTGTCGTACTATAGGCCACCTGAATTCGGAACGTGGGTTTGTTTTTTTTCTGAGCGCGATGCGCTGTCGAAAGAAGTGGGGGTTGCTCATGGAAAATAATAACACATTCGTGCCTACTTTTCTATTAACAGTTTGTTCGCGAAAAAATTGTGGAAATGTCTGAACTGGAATTCGAAGATTGGCTGAACGCCAAGTTTCCACAGCCACCAAGACCAGTCTCGGCACCGCTACCAAGGAGCAGCGGTTACCGCTATTAGACCTGAACTGCTTCACAGAGGAGCCAGCTGTATTAATAGGGACCTTAAGCAACGAAGACGACGACGGCAGTGAAAACGTCGCTAAAAAAATGAATTTGCGTTCTTTCAAACTTTATCGCGTCTATTTGGACCCGCTCAATATGTCAAATGCGGGCGACTTTTCCTGGAGTTGAATTCTTGAGGATTTTATTCAAGTTCAAAAAGAGGAAGGAAAATTTGTCGCCGTATGTCCACGTCCTCCATAAAACGTCAAATTAGGAGGTTTCACGTCGTAGTCGTGCAGTGGACGTCAAAGAAATGTACTAAAAAGCGTGATGCACGTGCAGAGCTGTTGTTTTGATCATTAAACCTATTGTTTTTTGAAGTTGTCGTCGTCGTCGTATTAGTAGTTGCTTAAGCTCCCTAATACTGATGACGGAAGGACTGAAGCACTCTACCGGATAAATCAGTTTGTGACGACACGAAAACTATCGGATATAGTAATGTATGAACATCTATCCGGGGATATGTGACTCTACACTTTCGAGATCGGCGCGCCTCGCAGCTTCGCTCCGTTACAGAAACCGCGTCTCAATGACTGTTCTTAGCTCTCTAGTATGGTTTCCGTGCCTTCGCAAAATAAAATAAAGCTGTCCGGTACAGTGTGTACATAGCCTCAATACTTCGGCGAGTTCCACTGAAAAAAAATTCATTTCAAGAAATTTTTTCGTCTAAGAAAGCCTCATAAAGACCCCTATGTTTGATTGCAACTGATAAAGACTTTGTCTCTCACGAACGGAGTGTACCGTCTTACTCTTAGCAGCAGCCGATTAAGCTCTGTGCCTTTTTGAAGCACCTTACTTTGTTCCTGAATATCAATGAATATTGGAGTAGTATTGTGAAGTAAAAATATAAAGCTTTATGTTTGGCTTAAAACCAAATGAGAGCGGTAATCTAAGTGCTAGCTCTTTTCTTTATTTCATTTAGTAAAAAATCAATAATGCTCTGTGCGTCAAAAACCAATTTTATAACGTCATAAATATTAAGCACCTCGCTTGTATACGTACGTAGCAGACCAGCAAAATCCGCAGTCTTTCTACGTTTATAAAAGATACCTATTTTCATTCCATAAAAAATGTGTTTTATAGTTTTGAAAAGTTACTGCTGGACATATTTTATACAGATTTATTTATACATGGTTTTTAGCGGAATGTATAAATAATTTATAGCAGTCAGTTCTTAGTTTTACGAAAGATTTGTAATAAAGAAAGCGTTAGGATGTTCTCACATTGCCTTTTTTTCCCATAGCAAGGATTTCAGATAAAGGAATTAGTTTGTCTGCATCTCACTTACCCTTCACTGATCAACTCTCTTTGATTAAATTGAACTGTCCAGATTTTTCCCAACAGCTCGTATCCGGGGAACTTTAACTGAATCAGTGGAACTTGGGAAGAGAGGTCATTTAAGGGTTGTCGAGTTTCAAATACCATATTTCCTCGAATAATAGCCGTCCCTCGATTAATCCCCCCACACCCCTATAGGTTAAGATCTAGGGATACCCATAGCGGTTAACTTCATTGCAGCCCGGAACGAAGCTTAATTGGAGTCTGATCCAGCAAAACTGATCAGTGACGATTCAAGTTTTGACGCTGAGGCCATTGACATTGAAAATTAATCATACCAATGTTCAGTTTATTTTGATTCGAGTATTTTTTTTTTTTGCTGGGAAAATAGAACATAATATTAGAGCACGACTTCTAGTGAGCAATATTTGAAATAATCCCCTCCCTCGAATAATCGCCTTCCGTCCAATAATCGCCCCGTTTGTTCCGAAAACAGAAAAAAATAATCGCCAACGGGTATTATTCGAGGAAATTCGGTAATCATCGCTACTGTTACGAATCCAATTTCTTTCCATCAAGCCTCGTTGAAAACAACTTCAATTCTGTGAAGTATTTCCCTTTTCAACTGCTATAAGTTGCTTACTTTCTTGTGAAGAACGTTAAAAAACACATCATTGAACAGTTCTCTTAGTCCTAATAGTAATCCTTAGGTGGAACAGAGATTTCATTCAATATCGAACGTGAATGCAACATCCTGACTCAAGGTAGATTTGAAAAATTATATCTTCTAAAGTCAGTCGAATAAAAAACTCACTCACTTTCACCCTCAAACACACCTTTTTATTCACTTATTATCAGGCAATTGTTACATTTGTTTGGCAACATTTCATGAAAAATCTTTTCTGGCCTGGGCTTTCAGTTACAAAAATAAAAAAAGGAAATCAGTGCACTGTTTTAATTTCCATTATTACTTTCATTAATTAATACTCTGCTAAGCGACTTTATTTACTTTTTCCCTTCACCATCCGATTTTTTAAAATAGGATAAAATGCATCTGATTTCATGTGTCTGACAGATCTATGCTCCATCTTGAATGATGGTGACTTTGATGAACTTGATTCCAACCCTCTCTCCTCTGCCACTTTTGTAAGTTTCCAGAATAAGCCCCTTGTTCAGCATCAGTCGTTTATTGTAGGCAGCGGTCTTCACAAGGCCTCCGTCATGCGTAGTGTAACACGAGCCCCAGCGTTCATCCAAACTGACCAGGATAGAAAGAGCCGCGGCTCGCTTTGGGAGTTCTGGGTCCATACTTTAGGGAGAATAACGTTGTGCTAGAGATTCCTTCAATTGTGCTACAGGGAGCGACTACACCATAATTCCCCTTGTCGACAGTAACAAACCCGATAAAGTTGGTACCGTCTGAGATTCCATAATAGATGTCGCTATCGTACACCTTTCCGATGTTGACGTCATGAGCCACGATAATCTCGACAGTCAGCGGTGTATTAGGCTTCAAGAAACCAGCAGGGATCATGGGAACTTTTAAGAGAGCAGCGTGAGTCACAGAGCCTACATTGAATGTCAGCTGTTGAGCGGTTACTGTGCGAGAAGTATCGATGTAGGACGCATGCGCCTCCAGCCATGTTGGAGTCATGGTCTGATGGTAGATCACTCTTGCCTGTAAAATACAAACAAACACACACACACAAACGTAAATTAATTGAAACTCGAAACTGATCCAACGGTCAACTTTTAAGTAACGATAGATGCGATGTCCGGCTTCTAGCTGTGTTTATACAATGATGTGAATGCTACGCGCGCTGTGATTGGTCGTTGCCCATGATCTATTAGAGTACAGATACATGGATGACGTCACGGGAAACTTGTTTTCTTTGTTTTGTTCAACATGGCACGCGGTTTAGAAAATGTTTGTGAGATTATTTCGGATTGAGGCAAGTGAAAGCTTCGGAAAAAGTTTAGCAGGAGCTATTTACAAAGAAGAAAAATGGAGAAACGGAGACCAAAAAAGCTATTGACTACTTGACAATGCCTAAACTACAAGAAATCTTCACAACAGTTGCCATCGTGTGTCTTCGCTACGAGAGACTCGCTGTTTTGCAAAATGTTTTCGCTATTATTCTTCTTTGAGCAAGAAAAGACGCAGAAACTGTACACAACTAAGATAAAGAAGAAGCTAAGATGAAAAGTTGGGTTTGGGACATAAAAAATGCCTAAACTAGCACAAATCCTCAAAAGGTCAAGCGGTTCGAGGCAGGTATGTGTATCGGTCTTTTTCTTTTCTGATCATTGTATAAAACAAGTAGATTCCATGTTGCTAAGGGTCTGTTCAGTAATAGATCACAGAGGACGTCAAAATGTGGTAAAAACAACAGTGACACACTCGCCTGCGGCTCGTGTGCCATTTCTTTGTTTTTACGACATTTTGACTTCATCTGTGATCTATTACTGAACAGACGCACGGCAACATGGAATCTATCTGTTAAGTTGACCGTATGGATGAAATGCTAGGATGTGACCGATCAAATGAAAACCCTGGCCTTCAGTTTTAATGAACTGTATGCATATGGGGTTGTAATTTTTTCTGTATGTTATGCGATAGGCTAATATTGAATATTCTAAAATTTTCAGTACAGCTACTTCCACCACGAGTGATCCAGTGAAACGGTTAAAAAGATTCAGGGAAAACATTATTCGCGACGCATTTTCTTAGGAATTTAAAATCATTTTGGAGACGAATTCATCGGAAAGGCTGCTTCTTCTCTGTTTAAAATATCAATAAAGCGGTGCTTGGTAACCAGAGGACAATTAAGATAATTTCTATTGAAAAGAAAGATAGTTCCAATAGAAAAGGGCACTGATATATATAGCGAGTGTACAAGGCTACCACTTTGTCTAACACTGGAAAAAAAGCTGCCTCCTAGATCCACACAGGCTTTCCTAAGGTTTAATGGGAGTACGGAACAGGCTAGAAGTCAGAGAAGGGGATGATCGATGGGAACGACTCAAACGACTGGGAACGAGGTTGGGAAAAAAAGTTAAAGGGCCCTGGACACAAGGCGAATCTCTCGGATCGTTCCCAGTTTACCTTTGCTCCAGAGGAGTCTGCTGAGCACGATGACTGCAGACAACAGGAATGGATAGCCTGAGGTCAAAAAACAAGAAAAATGCATTTGAAACGCACACATTGTTAAACACTGACTGAATATTGGTCTTCATAAAAAAATAGACGTAGTGTTCACTCGGTTAATTAGAAGTATTTCAGTAGGCCTTTAAAATGCGTTAAAACAAAAATCATTGCATTTATCGTTTGATAGGCATATTTCTCAGTGCTACGGGTTTATTTCAGTCTATGGGATTAGTATTAATGTTGACGTTATTCAAGCAAGCATGAAATTTAAATGCGGTCATTTGATTTAACTAATTAATAAACTAGAAATAAACCTTCATACGAGAGACATTAAAGTAAACTTAATACAAATGAATCATGTTTCGAGGTAAGCTTTTCGAATCTTTTCAAATCTCAGTTTACTTATAGGCTATGCTGAAACAATCCCTTAAGGACGTCGGGTCTCTCACACTTTTTTTCAAACAAATAAAATGAATAGTCTCAAAATCAAGACTGAGAGTCTATTCAGCATCCCCACTTCCGATATAAGTCAGCCCCTCTATTTGAAAAAATGTTCCACTGTGTCCTTGCGAATGTGAATCCTAAGATAATTTATGAATTAGTTATGAAAGTTTTTTAATAACATTGAAATTACGGCACAAGAAAGGAAGCGTTATGGACTCGGAGATATTGAAGTACGTTTCTACGGGACAAATAAGGTTTCCCTCGAGAACAAAATTTTTGTCGTAAAAGTGATCAGCGTTTTTGAATCCGCAACTAATTAAGGTCGACTTGATGAAAAACGGTTAATGCTTAACTATATAGCACTGTAGTTCTAAGTATTCTTAATTTCACCTCAAATTCTGAAAATAATCATAGGAAACTGCACGATGGTTCGTTGCCTTTAGTTTTGTATCGTAATTAAATAAAAATCTTCACTGTAATTTAAGGTGAACTTAACTTACAGGACAAATAAACCCAATCAACGCCAAGCAAAAAATTCCAGTGCTTGAAATCAGGGCAAAATCCTTCATCATATTCTTTAGAGAAAATTTTTTGGCGCTCTGAACCGGCAGGTAAAGTGGCACGTTCCACAACTTCATACAATTACTGTGAATCACTTTTCCTCCGTTTAATTAAATTTACAACAAGAATTTTTCCTTGCAACTTTCTTTGTGATCTCACAAACAGGAAGAGGGGCCCTAGGGACAATGTTATCATCTCACTCGAGTGAACTCGGGTTATTTTAAAATACCGTTAACTGCCGTTTATAAGCCCTTGGGCTTATAGAGGGGCGTATAAACGGAGGAGTTTATATTTGAGGGGGATTAAAACCGTAATAGATAAAGCGCTTCGAAAGAACCTAGAAGTGCAGATCAAAATATGTTATTCAGTTCCTGATTTTTAATTAAGTTTCCAAATGTTACAATACGGTTAGAGGGGAGCTTTTATCCCGGGTTGCTTATAATCGAATGTATCTTTTTTACGTAGATGGGCCTATAGCTAGGGGGGACTTAAAATACGTTATTCAGCCATGATTGATTGAATCAAGCCACAGAGAGCGAGTCAAAAGAAGAATATCAATATAGAGATTATCAGAATCGCGTTTACGGCAAACAGGAAACGTGAGATTCGAGTTGAGAAATTTTTAAACATGAGAAATGAGCAGACAAAAACAATTGTTGTGGATAGAGTTGGAGTGAATCTACCGACCCTCCACCGATTTTCGTGTAGTTACTGAATGAACAGTATTCTAAACGAAAAGTAAATGGAAAACTTGGTCACGTGGTACAATTTAGGTTTGTCGTGTTTCCTTTTTCAACGACTTGTCGTTTACTGTTCATTACAACTACAAGAAAATCGGTAGATTCAGGCCAATTTTATCCATAAGAATTGTTTTGAGCTGTTTTTATCTGCTCGTTTCTCATTTTGAAAATTTCATGTTTGCCGTTTGCGGTAAACCCTGGGCCGTAAATACGATACTTAATCTCTTTAATGTGACTTCCGCCGAGTTACTTGCCTCCCACAAGCGTTTTTAGGGGATTTATATTTCCTCCCTTCCCACGCCTACTGGTACTCTATCTTTGCCTGGGTTTCCTCTGGCTACATTCATCATTTACTAGATCCGGCCAGGAAAGCAGCAAAAGATCGGTTAAAATTAATTATTTACCTACAAGGAAACTCTAAACGAGTCGTTTAATGATTGGTGGTGTCTGTGACTTTGAGAAAGATCCAAGAACCCATTATGGCTCTTGATAGAACGGAAACTTTTAGCAGGGGAATCGCGGAGGGCGAAATGAGAATCCGTGGAACCAAAAACAAAGTCAAACTCAACCCACCAGAGTAAAGCCAAATGAGCTCCTTCTATTATGCGTCAAAGTAGGGGATGTGAGCTCCAGTCATCATACTGGAAAAAGGCTTTTTTTGAAAGTTATAAACAGAGGGCAAAAAGGGGAAGAAGAACAAGCCCCACTTCTCCCAAGTCCAATAGGACTAGGGCTTCTGTTAATTTCACATGGGAACGACCTCCAAAGTGGGAAGTCACATATCTGACAGGTTTGATGCTATACTTCGGTGCAGTGTGACCAGCTCTGACTGTAGCGGAAGTGAATAAATAAGAGCGAGGACTGGAATCCATGGAGACGGAAGTAAATATTCAGCAGTACTATAAAGATACAAGATATGTCCTGTACATGACGTAGCCACGAGCGAGAGCAGTTTCAATATGGCGCAAGTTGGAGATGAAATTGACCGCTTATCTGGGCATTCAATTGCAAGCCTGAATAAAGCTCTACATGAGCATTTAGATGAAGGTGGTTTTCAAATTATGGATGATTTATCGAAACAGATATTTCCATCTGTGTTCGGTGCAATCAAGAACTGTTTGTACAAGCCTTTAAGGAAACACCCTCTGTACAAGGAAGTGGAGTTTGTCTGGACTGGCAGTACGGCAGAAGGAGTGAATATTCCTAATTTTGAACGACGTGGGGATGGAAAGCCTCATCTTGAATTCGAGATGGATATACTGTGTGTGTTTCGAGACATTGAAATAGGACGATCCGCAGACAGTCCAGCCATACTGATGAAACAAGAAGATACAAGCGAGGGATATTTCGTTTTGTTCTTAAATGATAAGGAATACAGAAGACGATGGGCTCAATTTAGTATTGTTCCAAGCGATCCAAAGAGGAAAGGGGAAGTGTACCTTAATCCATTACTGATGGTAGAAGACTTGTATCGGCAAATTGAACATATTTTTGCACAAATCCCATTACTAAATGAGAGATTCCGGTTAAAATTCAATCCACCAGCTGTCACTTTGTCTATGTCTTTGGACTTTCAAAACACTACAATCAATTGCGATTTGGTTGTGGCATTAGAGTTGCCTTCTGATTGTCTGCCAAAGGAATACCCGTCATGGGTAAAAGTACATGGAAAGCCAAACTGGCTCAGTCAAGAGGCTTTTGGTAAAGTGCAACATGAGCATCTTCATCTTGTTGGAAAGTGCTCACCGAGTGGACAACCAAAGGTGGAATGGAGACTCTCTTTTAGTGTCATAGAACTTGTTCTTATGCAGGAAATAGCATCACAATGTGCAGCTGCTATAACATGTTACAGAGTATTCAAGCAAATAAGGTTTTGGCATTTAAAATGCCCTGACATTCTTCATTCATATCATTTGAAAATGGTGTTTTTTCGAGCATGCCACAAGTACCCATTGAGCTTATGGACAGCCAGCAATTTTGCAGCCAACCTTCTTGGACTTCTAGATGACTTGTTTTATTGCCTTGCCACAAAGTCTTTGCCAAGTTACTTCATTCCACATTATAACCTGATTGAGGGAATTCACTCTGATTTTCTGTTTACTTTGCTGGATAAATTGAATGAAGTAAGAAAAGATCCTGTTAAAAATATAACTGATTTGAAATGATGAACATTAAAATGACGCTTGTGGGTGGATAGTATTTGGGGGGCCTATTTTCCTATAACAAAAAAATACAATAACCAGAAAAATAAAACTGCGTGACTTAAAAAGTGGTTAGAGCAAACAAGATCCCAAAGAAATAACTCACTCACTTTTCTTCAAACCCGTCTTTATTCACTGATCAGTCCTGTTACTTAAGCTGCAACAGTTCATGATTTTTTCTGCCCTAGGCTTTCACTACTAATAAAATAATAATAATAATAAATGAAACCAGTGCACTGTCAATTTTTTTTCCTCTGACAAGAGTTTACTTATGACCAGGGCAACTTTACCTATTTAGTTTTTTTTCCCTTCCCCATTAGATTTCTTTAAAAATAAGATGTAATGCATCTGATTTTATGTGACAGATCTATGCTTCATCTTGAATGATGGCGACTTTGATGAACTTGATTCCAACCCTCTCTCCTTTGTTACTTTTGTAAGTTTCCAAAATAAGCCCCTTGTTTAGCATCAATCGCTTATTGTACCCAATGGTCTTCACAAAGCCTCCGTCATGTGCAGTGTAACACGAGCCCCAGCGTTCATCCAATTTGAGTGTGAACACAAACTGACCAGGATAGAAAGAGTCACTGGGCTTGGGAGTGACGGGTCCATACATTCGGGAGGATAACTGCGTGCCAGAGGACCCTTCAATTTTATAACAGGGAGCGTTGCTGCCATAGTTCCCCTTGTCACAAGTTTCAAACCCAATAAAGTTGGTACCATCTGAGATTCCATATCGGATATCGCTATCGTGCACCTTTCCAATGTTGATGTCATGTGCGGCGATAATCTCGACAGTCAGCGGTGTATTGGGCTTCAAGAAACCAGCAGGGATCATGGGAACTTTTAAGAGAGCAGCATTAGTCACAGAACCTGCATTGAATGTCAGCTGCTGGGCGGTTGCTGTGCGAGAAGTATCGATGTAGGATGCATGCGCCTCCAACCACAGAGGAGTCATGGTCTTATGGTAGATCACTTTTGACTGCAAAATATAAAGAACAAACAAACAAACTTAAATATCAAAACCTGCTGAAAAGTACAAAGAAAGAACGAAATTTCGAATTTCCTAATTCTGATCAGAAACAGGCAATACAGAGTACAAGTTGCAGGGGCGGATCTAGGGGGAGGGTGCAGGGGTGCACCCCCCCGAGATGACCTGCGGTTTTCTAATACAACTAGTATTTTGCCAAAAACAAAACTATGTGGTTTATTGGTGTTGAAGTAGAGCAAGAGACGAGTACACCCCCTCCTAAAAAAAATCCTGGATCCGCCCCTGAGTTGCACAGCTGCTAATCACGAGAAAAAAGGCCTAAGGTCATCACATCGAGGGGAGACTGGAGACAAAGCTTATCTCTTCCGTTCCCAGTTTACCTCTGCTCCACATGATTCTGCTGTGCACGATGCCTACGGACAAAAGGAATGAACGACCTGAGGTCAAAAAACAGGAAAAATGCATTTGAAACGCACACATCGTTAAACACTGACTGAATTTCGTCTACATAAAACGTACAGTTCAGCAATTTACTTTAAATTCATTCGGTGGGTTTGAAAAAAAAAACATTACCATTTTAATTACATCTTTTTTTTACGCAGAATTCAGTATAACTGAGAGATAGAGTCGTTCACGCTAATCTACCTCAAATTTAAAATATCTTTATTGACATTTTCAAGCAAACATGAAATGTAAATGCAGCCATGTCGTTTATTTTGACTTACAAGTCTTTACAGAGACAATACAAAATAAATGCAATGCAATACTTAATGATTACAAATATCGATACGTGATTACACAAAAAGTAAGGTTTTAACGAAACATGAATGCGCTGTGTTGGAAATAAAACCTCGAGGAAGGACTCCCACTTTTTGCGAAAAAAGACAATTAGAGAAGACTGGCATGCTTCGCTTTCAAGACATCATTAGCCGCCCCCCACCGCCCCTGCCGACGACGTGAGCATCATTTTACCAAGCTGCGAGAATAAAACAACATTGGAATCAGTACGGCTTGAGAACGACAGACTTAATGGAGATTTTGAAATGTTTTTCTACGGGAAGTAAAAGGCATTTCTTAAGATCAGTGGTTCAACACAGTGCCGGTTTTAATCCGGCAACTTATATAAAAGCTTACTTGATATAAACTGATGCTAACTGCAGCTTTAAGTACTCTAAATTTCACCCAAAATTCTGAAAATAATCTTAGTAAGCTGCATACCCATTAAGGTCGTTGACTCAAGTTTATGCTCTGAATATCGTTCTCAAATAATAATTTTCAATCGAAGACAATAACTTAACTTACAGGACAAATAAGGCCAATCAACGCCAGGAACGCTCCAGTACTTGAAATGAGTGCAAAAGACATCGCCTTCATCACTTTTTTGACTTGATGTAAGCCTTAGGGAATTTCAACCTTTTTGGCAATTCGAGTCTCCGGATAAACTATGACACGTTCCACAACTCCACACAGTGATAACTAATATATCCTACACGAGTTCTTCAGTTTACGGCCAGTTTAATGAAATTCACAACAAGAATTTTTTCCTCGTAACTTTTGTTTATCTTTTTGTTCGGACGGAAGAAAGACCCTGACGCGGATTAGGTTCTGGTCACACTAGGGTAATTAATGAAATAATTTAAGTTTATATTACACAAGAACAAGATTGATTGCTGCTACTGTACATCGTAGCAGGCACCTGGTCGACTAGCATGCTGAAAGAGAAATTTACGGGTGACTTGCCGCCGGATGATCTGATCGTTGTTTACGTTCGATACATACAAGTAGTAGAAGCTGTCATCATGTTGATTGAGCCGAGTGATGTAAGAGCAGAATAATTCACTTTTTGGATGTAAGTAAACATAATTCGTTATGGAACTCTATAAAGCAAGCCAGTTCTGAGTGAATAGAGTTAGAATTTGGACGTGTTGGTTTTTTGTAAGAAGACAGTACTCGGACTAACAGCATCGAAAATAGAGCCAACGTTAAACAAGTAATGCCATGAATGGATTCCACTCACTTTCGGGGGACAGGCTCTGTCGACATTGACCAGAGCTTCAGTTGGAGGAACTCTGATTAAATGTGGCCCAGGACTCCGTTAAATCTCTGCCCCTCGCTCCCTAAACCTTGTACCGCAATCGCCAAAGAAAGTTTACGCATGAAAATAAATAATCGGAAGAATTAATTTCACTATTGTAACTTAGAAAGACTCAAGTAGAAGAGCCAAGAGTAATAGGCTTCGAACTCAAATATTTGTAAACGCAAGAAGAAATTAATTCCGAACAGAACCAGTCCGATTGGACCAGTTTGCTGAAATAACATTCAGAAAAGGCCCAGGGAAACAGTTCGGCGAAAAAGCACAAAGCGGGCGTGGAGCGCAAGACAAGCGCGACTGGGGAGGGCACCTTTCCCTGTCGCGCGTGTCTTCTGCTCGACCTCCTTACTCGCTTCGCGCTTGCCTTCGCTCCTCCTCAAGAACGCGGAAAAAAAGAACTTCCTGTTCTACAGGCTATAGCTGGGATTAATATCCTTCCAAATACAGAAAAATGCTGATCCACGGTGTTTTTACATCCGGAAAATAAAGTGCCGATGCTCCAGTGATATGGGCATCCCCCGCGTTTTGGGCATCCGGTAAACAGATAAAGTTGCCGAAAACTGGTACCGAACTGAATGAACTTGAGGGAGTCTGGGTTCTTGAGTGTAAACATGGCGGACGAATTTCTTCAAAAGCGCTGCAGAAGGCTCGTATTTTTTGGCGATAAAATCTGGAGCCGTGTAGTTTCAACTGAACAAAAATGCACGCAAGTAGATATGGCCGATGCAGTGCTAGCTACTGCACTAAGTGGAATAACATTTCCTCTTTGTCTTGGTGTCCTACAAACTGGTTTGTTTCGCCCTCTAAGGATAACTTCAAACCGTCGCTTTATTGGTTCAGCCTTCGGTACTGTTTCTTTGCTGGTTTCTGGAAGCACAGCCTCAGCTGTATTTCTTTCCAGCATTGTACTTTTTAAGGAAATCAAGGGCAGCTCCTTTCGAATCTTAACTGAAAAACTCCATTCTTTAATACCAAATACGACAGTAGATGTTGCAGTTTGTTCCAGAGATATTCCTCTGTGTGGAGTTGCAAGCTTAGTGGTGTACAAAATTTTGGGCGGAAGGTTGCGATCAGTTTTGCCAAGCAACAGTTCATCCAGGACATTTGCTAAAAGGTTTATTCAGCTAAAGGGAAAGATATGCTTCTGATGGTGTGAAAAGAAAGCTTGCGTTAATGGGTGAGTTTTTTGAGGCTTTCAAGTGAATATCAAATAAAATGGCCCTCACAGCCAATTAGCCCCCTCAATCTCTAGATGATCAGCCCCAAATCTTGAAATGCATATGAATGCTTTAGACAAATTAATTTTGCTGTATATGCTGGGCAGCCAGGAAGGGTCTAGACTTGCAGAGACTTGCACAAGTCGACCTAGTTTCTTCTCCGGGGAAAAAAGAGCAAGCGAGCGTGAGCTTCATTGAGGTCGCGAAAAAAAAATTCAAGGACTTTTTAGAAAAGTCTAAGAAGGGTCTTAAAAACTAAATAAAAATAAATGTCCAGCAGTCAGAACATTTTCTAGAATTTCTACAAAATCTCTTGTTCTAATCATTTTGAAAGCATTCTATCGCCATTTACAATTACCAAACAGGCCTGTAGCCAGGTTGTTTTATGGGGACGATGCAATCAATGCTGAGATAGACCAAATGAGGCCAGAGGGCAGTCCCTGGGGAGCTGTGGTTGTCTGAGACTGAATTATGAGCAAGTTTGCAATTGGGAGGAGCTCACTTCAACGTGTTAGCATAAGTCTGGGGCATTCTCCCTTGGAGAATGTTTAAATTTAACCCTCTGAAATGGTTGGACAGATATGCATCTAAAACTAGCATGGTGTGGTGAAACATATATACTTTCTGCAACAAAACACATTGTCAGAAAAAATACTTTTCTCCGCAAAACACATGATGCAACAACAAAAATTACTATTCTCCAAACCATTGAACTTGTTCGATAACGGAAGTTTAAACAAGTGTTGAACTAAAGCAGCTGATGCAGAACAAAAGAAAAGAAGAACAGTTTCTTCACTTTCATTGTTCAAATTTACTGTAGAAATATAAAACAATGGATTTTTTAAAAACGTTGAATAAGAAAGTAACTTCGATTTTTTCTAGTATTCTCCCAGCCCCCCCCCCCCTCCCTGCACAGACTGTGCATCAAGCTCCAAGCTAACAGTAACAACAGTTTGTGTAGCTTTAGTAGGAGTTCTAATATCCTCTAATTAAAAGCAACACAAAGAGCTGGATCCAGCATTTCACAGCTGAAGGGGGAATCTCATACTCACCAACTGTTAAAGTAACAATTCAGATCCAACATTTTGCAGAAAACTATGGCAAACAAACCCTTAAGGGAATTTTTATTGAGCAATGAAAAAATGTCTTGTAGGCACACCAAACCCCCTTTTTATACTTTACAAAGGCTAAAACACGTTTTGTGGAAAGGGTGAGGCAGGCTTGTGACCTTTTTCACAGCATGTTCAATGTTACTGCACAATCAGTAAATTAGAATAGAACAATACTCCTACTTCACTTTGTTTTAAATCACTGATCAATAAAGTGGACCTCTGTCCCTGTGAGGGTATGCGAGTGCACCATTGCAACCCCCCTCCTCCTTCAGGCCTGCCAAGCGATCAGGAAAAAAAAAGAAATAGCTTTGCACTCAAGTGGTTGTGGTGTCTTGGCCACAAGTAGAGTCGATGCCATTTCAAACACAGAAGTTCAGAAAATTCTGGAAAAAATTCTCTAACAAAATAGTGAAAATTACATCATCCAAGTGGCCACAGGCAGAAGGGGAATAGTCAAGGTCAGGGTTGAAAAATGGAAACATTGTATTCTTGGGGTCTTTTCTGAATGTACCATCATCAAGAAAGGGTTTTTTTTTGTTTAATGCA